TTGAATGTCTCAAAGGACTTAAGAATTTTTATTGTTAATTGATCAAATCAACGTCAGGATTTGACATCAAATTTTTGATTAAATTTTCGGTTGTCGGCATAATTTATAGCTTATTCGACATCCGCAAACCTTTTATTCGAACAAGTCATAAAAGACTTGCTTTTTACCGTAAACAGTTATTGCGAGCTCATCAAATCAACGTCGGGATTTGACATTATAGAGCGTAAGCCTCCCCAAACCATCTTTAGGGCTTGGAAGTATCCGGCTTTGCTGCGTCTGGCTAGGTCATACCATCTTCAGGGTATGAAACACGTTTAGCCTTAGCAACGAGGACCGATTTATTGTGGTCCGAGTGATCGAACAAATTACAGGGGTTCGTCACACAAACTTTATTGATAGCAAAACATGGTTTTTGTACAAAGGTAGGACAAAAGCTTTTCTACATGCCAGAGACAGAACCTTGGAAATCAGATTTACTGGTAGTATTTCTTCAAATATGTCATGTGCCAGGGATATTGGAGGGGAACACCGTCTAACGTCTCAAGTCGGTAAGTGCCATTAGAGATCAGACGATTTACTTTAAAAGGTCCTTCCCACTTTGGTTGTAACGGGCCGACATTGGCGCCAGTAACTCTTTTCAGAACAAGGTCTCCTTTGATAAATGAGCGTGGCTTGAGCTTTGAGTTTATGTATTTTTCACTTCGTCGTTTATAAGCGGCATTACGAACTTCGACGTCGGCCCGTAATTCATCGACCAAATCGAGACTGGCTTTCAAGTTTGCTGAGTTGGTTTCTTTGGAGAAGTGAGTGATCTGATATGTTGGGAAGGCAAGTTCAACCGGTATCACGGCTTCGGCTCCGTAGGCTAACGAAAACGGAGTTTCTCCAGTGGAATTTTTCATCGTCGTCCGATAAGACCAGAGGACATAAGGCAATTCATCGGGCCACGATCCTTTTGCAGCTTCAAGTCGAGTTTTTAGGCCATTCTTGATAATCTTGTTTACGGCTTCTATTTGTCCATTAGCTTGTGGGTGATAAGGTGACGAGAAGAAATGCTTGATGCCGTAATCTTCACAAAAACTTTCAAATCGTTTGCCTTCAAACTGACGACCGTTGTCGGTTATAATGGAGTTAGGAATTCCAAACCGACAAACGATTGATTTCCATACAAAATCTACCATTTTTTGCTCTGTGATGGTTACAAGGGGCTCAGCTTCAACCCACTTGGTGAAATAATCAGCGGCTAAAATAGCAAACCGGACTCCCCCTTTTGCTGTCGGAAGTGGGCCGATCAAATCAATTCCCCATTTTGCAAACGGCCATGGGCTATATATTGACTTGAGGTGTTCAGGATGTTGGTTAACATTAGGAGCAAATATTTGGAATTTGTGGCACCGCCGTACCCAATCCGTAGCATCTTTCCTAAGAGTAGGCCAGTAGTAGCCTTGTCGGAGAATTTTATGAGACAAAGTTTGAGCTCCTTGGTGAGTGCCGCAGACTCCTTAGTGTACTTCTTGCAGGATTCGTTGAGCGTCTTTTCCGACAAGCATTTGAGCAATGGGGTAGAGTACCCACGTTTATATAACGTCCCTTGGTCAGTGGTGTAATGAGCAGCACGAACACGAAGGGCGCGAGCTTCTTTCGGGTCTTCAGGTAAGGCCCCGGTTTGAAGATAATCAATGATCGGGTCCATCCATGTAGAATTTGAAGTCACTGGGGCGGCGTCAACCATGACAACGTCGGTAGAGACTGTTGATGAGGTCGCCTGTTGGGTAATTTGCACAAATTCAACATTATTCAAGTCGGTTGATGAGGCCAATCGTGAAAGAGCATCTGCCTGAATATTGGATGACCGAGGTATATGCTCCAACGTCATTTTAAACCGTGCTAGCTTCTTTTTAACGAGATCAAAATAAGGCAACAGCCGTGGTTCTTTGACTTCATAAGTACCATTGATATGGCTGACCAATAGCTGAGAGTCGGAAAATATCCGGAGAGAGGAAACATTCATGGATTCGGCAAAGTGTAAACCTGATAGGAGGGCCTCGTATTCGGCTTCATTATTAGTGGCCTGGAAGGTAAATGCCACAGAGTAACAAAACACTTGCTGATCGGGACTAACCAAGACGATCCCTCCCCCAGCTCGTATGGTGGTGGACGAACCGTCAATGTAGAGGGTCCATGTCGGATCTTCAATGGATGAGTCAACAGTGGGAGTAAGTTCAGCAATGAAATCGGACAGTACTTGGGCTTTGATAGCGGTTCGCGGCCGATACTGGATATCAAACTGTCCCAACTTTATCGCTCACTTAATCATTCTCCCCGACGTGTCAGGTCGGTGAAGGACTTGTCGGAGAGGGTGTGTCGTGAACACAATAATTGAATGCTCCAAAAAATATGGGCGCAACTTCCGTGTAGCAATGATCAAAGCATAGGCTAACTTCTCCATGTGTGGATATCGCAATTCAGCATCATGTAAAGCCTTGCTAACATAATACACCGGAAACTGTTGAAGTCAATCTTGCCGTATGAGAACAACACTAACAGCAACGTTACTTACACCAAGATACAAATAAAGAGATTCATCAGGAAATGGCTTTTGCAACGTCGGTAACTGTAAGAGAACTTGCTTAATGTTGTCAAATGCATTCTGGCACTCCGTGGTCCATTCGAACGGTTTCTTCTTTTTGATAGCGTCAAAGAACGGTTTGCAATGATCTGTTGACTTTGAAATGAACCGATTAAGGGCTGCCAGTCGACCAGTTAAAGCTTGGACACCTTTGAGAGATGTCGGAGAAGCTAGGTCAAGTATGGCTTGAATCTTGGCGGGGTTGGCTTCGATCCCTCTTTGACTCACCATGTATCCTAGAAACTTCCCTGATCCAACTCCGAAAGTGCATTTCTTGGGGTTAAGCACCATGGAATATTCTCGGAGTATATTGAAGACCTCGGAGAGATGAGCGATATGGTCAGGGGCCTGTTCCGACTTCACTAACATATCGTCTACATAAACTTCCATTGTATGGCCAATTAAGCGAGCAAACATTTTATTGACCAATCTTTGATATGTGGCCCCTGCATTCTTCAACCCGAAAGTCATCATAACATAGCAATAAAGGCCTCGAGCTGAATAGAAAGAAGTATGCTCAGCGTCATCAGGGTGCATGGGAATCTGGTTATAGCCTGAATAGGCATCCAGAAAACTCATAAGTTGGTGTCCCGACGTAGCGTCTACCATGTAATCGATGTGTGGAATGGGGTAGCTATCTTTCGGGCACGCTTGATTCAAGTCTGAGAAATCTATACAGAGACGCCAAAGACCGGTGGCTTTCTTAACCAAAACAGGGTTCGATATCCACGTCGGGTACTTGGCTTCCTTGACAAATTTATTATCTATGAGCTTATTTACTTCTTCTTCAAGGGCCTTCTGGCGATCTGGGCCAAATTTCTGACGTTTCTGTATAACCGGTTTAACAGTCTTGTCCAAATTGAGACGATGGCATGCCTTCCGTGGGTCGATCCCTTTCATGTCTTCATGCTTCCAAGCGAATACGTCAGTGTTTGACTGGAGGAATTGAATCAAATTTGACCGAATGGGTTCTTGCAGATTGGCTCCAATACGCAGCGATTTCTGCTTATCTGACCCATCCACGTAAATGATCTTAATATCTTCAACAGGTTCTGCTCGGACATGATGATTTCCATCTTTAAACTGCATCCTTGGGTCTATATCGTCATGCATTCTTACGTCTTTTTCATGAGAAGATTGTTCTTGATCGAGGATTTCAGTTGATGTTTCAGGCAGGACCGACGTCATAGGGACGTCGGTATCGACAGGCGGCAAGTTGATCTCTGCTTGAGGCATGTCGGTATCCGGGGTGAACTGATCAATTTCTTCAAGACGAGGAATTGGGTCACTCGGGTCAACAAAGCTATTAACATCTTGTTCTTCAATCATATGAAAGTTAGGCGAGGTTGAAAGCAGCATCAGACTTCGGGCTTCTCGCTGATCTCCGTAATGAGTGCCTTCTCCTTCAATGGTGGGGAACTTCAAAGCATAATGAAAAATTGACACAGCAGCACGGAGTTTATAAAGTGCGGTTCGCCCTATTACAGCATTATATTCATTTTGGACATCCAAGACTTTGAAAGTTTCCATAATGATCTTGGACTTCGGTCCAAAGCCTTCGAATCAGATGGGGAGCAATATTTCGCCAACAGGGCAAGAAATGCTTCCATTGAAACCTTGAATCTGATCGTTACATGGCCTAATATCGGCTGGGTCCAAACCCAATTTCTTGAAAGTACGGAGCATTAGAATACTTGAATACGCTCCTGTGTCGACCAAGATCCGATGAACAGGAATTCCTCCAATCGGGGCGGTTATGATAAGAGCATCAGAATGAGGATGAGCGAACAAGTTAGCGTCTTCAATACTGAACGTAATAGGGCAATTCCGTTTGTTGATGGTATCTCGGAGATCAACATTCATGACTCGTTTCTCGGCATTCTGAGCTTCCCGAGCATAAGCTTTGACTTTCCGTCGAGACGTATCTAACTATTTATTATTAGAATTAACTCGAGGTATGCAACGTGAAAAATCTGCGGGATCACGTATCATAGGTTTCCTGTGATTGTCGGTCGAAGTACCGACATGTGTAGAAAATGTAAAAACTTCCTTATCGTTTGCGCGAGCTCTCTTTTGGTTAGCAGGTCGGTTGTCCTCATCTTCGTCGTCTGAAAGATCTAAGGGCCTTCCTTTGCGGCGGTTATCAAAATTTCGAAACTTTTGAAGCTGGGGTTGTCCGATTAAACGTAAGAGTGCCGACAAAAGACCAAGACACTCATCGGTATTATGCCCTGGAGACTTGTGGTATGCACAGTACCTAGTTTTATCCAACTTGTCTTCAGGAGTTCTCACAGGCCTCGGGTCTGGGATGATTCCCTTTCCCTTCAGTTCCTCATATATGGTGGTCGCTCCAGCAGAATAAACGGCATGATAACCTGTCCTGACATTGTCTGAATATTGATCACGGGCAGCCCGGGACTCTGGAGTATTTTCATACCCTTTAGAGGAGTTCCGAAATTGTGCTTTCCCAAAGCCCTTCTTGTTTTTCTTTTTAGCATCTGGTTCAACCTTGTTTTCTTTCACCGAGAAGTCGAAACTAGGGACCGACATGGATTCCTCGGCAATAATGAACTGTTGAGCTCGTACAAGAAACTCTTGAAATGTAGCTGGCTTATTCTGGCACAGGGTCCAACGAAACATCGAGTTGGGTTTCAATCCAGCAATGGCAGTTACTAGTAAGGTTTCAGGATGACAGGGCTCCATGTTCTGAATTCGGTCGTTGAACCGAGCCACGTAGTCTTTAACAGTCTCGTCGTCTTTTTGCACGATGTTGGTAATCGACTCTTTCGGAATGAGACAAATTTGAGCACCGATAAAGTGTGACCGGAAAGCTGCACGTAACTGCTGCCATTTCCAAATTGAATGAGGTGGGAGAGTATAATACCATTTCTGGGCTCGTGGCCCAGTGTAAGCGAAAACATCCGGCACCTCAAAGCATCTGAAGCTCCATGTAAATCCATCAAAGACGTATAATGGCCTAAGTGTGCGTCTGGATCCGACGTCCCATCATACATGCCGATTTGCGGGATTTTCACTTTCACAGGGAGTGGCTCCGCAGTAAGTTCGGGGGCTATAGGAGAATCCGCCTCGACAACAACATTTCCCGACGTCGTGACATGTCGGGGTGAATCTTCTTGTGACTTCTGTCGCGTTTCAAGTTCAGCCAAACGTTTACGGAGAGTTTCAATTTCTTCTGCACTATGCCTTGAAAGACGATTGCGTTCAATTTGGCGTCGTAAATCTTCGCGAGCGTGCGGTGCTGACGAGATAGGTCTAGGACGCGGGGAAACTCTCTGGTGATGAGCAGAATGACTTTCAGCAGTCATCTCCTGCACAGGGGGTTGATCTGGGACTTGATTGTTCGTTACTGGATTAACAATCACATGAGCCTGTTCTTCTTGACGTGGAGAAGTATGATGAGGGTGTGACGTGGCATGTGACGTCGCCACATGTGTTTCATGGTCATGACGAGTATGAATTGGATGTTCTGTTGGGTTAGTAGTCAACGGCATCGACAACGGGATCGTACCCGAGTTTCTAGGCATGGCTCGAGCTATCAATGAAGACAAACCTTGAATAAACTCCGGATTTTGAAGGAAGTTCGTGACATTCGTGACCGGAGAAGGCGGAGTTGCACGCCGTGGAGAGTGGTTAGTCGATTGGCTCTGACCAGGGTGAGGTACATGATCTCGACCAGACTGTGACATAGTAATTTTCCGAGTGCGAAAATGGCTTACGGGCAAAGATTAACGTCAAAACACAAGCAAGACGCCCTTTTTCTAGCGCCAAACTGTTGTCAAACGGGAATTAACAACGGTCTGATTGTAGTAAATTTAGAGTACAATCAAATATTCAATGACAAGAACTGGTATTTTGTAAAAGGAGATGTAATGTTTATAGTAAAGTCTTGTTGTCATTGTCTGTTCTTTGGAGATTTATATTTCTCCTTTTATATTTAAGTACAATATTTATCCGTACAGTAATCATTACATTTTGAAAGGTCAAAGGCGGCTCTTAGCTGCTTTTCTTGAGAACTCGCCACTCGGACAAACGTAATGATGATTTATGCTGAGTTGTCGCCGCCTTACCATGCTGAGGTGGCATGTTATAGATATCGGTTCACCCAGTTATAACCGATATGTTGTGACTGACATATGTTGACCGACGTGTGTTGACCGACATGTGCTGACCGACATGTGATATCGGTCAAATAATGGAGATGTCGGTTCTTGTTGAATTTTTCATCGTGCAGCCGTCTTGAAGTCGATGAGAGCGCCACGTGCTTGCATGAACCTTAATTATCCTCATACTGACCCCAATTTAGCGGATCAACGTCACTTAATTTTGGATTACCGAAAATGATATCAACACACTGCAACAGAAACAATTACTTAATTCATCATCTAATCTGAATAAGAGAAAAGAACCTTCTAAAATGAACGAAACATATCTTTGGCATCTAATACTTGGTCATATTAACCTTAGGAGGATTCAAAGGTTGGTACCAGACGGGCCTTTGGGGTCGTTAGAAGTCGAGGCTTTTCCAACTTGTGAGTCTTGCCTGGAAGGTAAAATGACTAAGAGGGCTTTTAGTTCAAAGGGGCATAGAGCCGAAGATGTGTTAGGGCTAGTTCATTCCGATCTATGTGGTCCTATAAGTATTCAAGCGAGAGGTGGTTTCGAGTACTTCGTTACGTTTATCGATGATTACTTGAGATATGGTGTGACGCCCCGTCCGTTTGCGAATAATTTGGATTATTGTTATTATTATTATTGTGGCTATTATTATTAACTATTAATTGTCTAAGTGCTAAAATGAAATTATGTGCCTAATTGTGTATGTTAATAAATATTATTTGTGGTATTTTATTTTAAATATTAAATACTATTTTAAATATTTTATGCATCATTATTTTATACTATTTCGTCAAACCGAGCATTTGTTCGCACCCCCTCCGAAC